CCAAGTGTTGGGATCACAAGTGTGCTCCACCACACTCAGCACATTTTTCTTCTTTTGCTTCAGGAATGAAAAAGTGTATGTGTAAGATCTATTTTGTTACTTAAGGTATGAATGGGAGGATTCAGGATTAAAAATTAACCTTAAATAGCAATGCTTCTGGGGAAAAGTTAAAAGTGAAAACAAATACGAAACAAAACACTTGAGGAGCTGGAGGAACAGTTCCTGAGAGGTTCCTAGAGGACTTGGGAGTGTGGAAAGTGCCAGGATTGCGGAGACCATGTGGTTTTATAGCATGGCACCTGAATAGTTTTTCCAAGGGTACATAGCAGCCTAGAAAAAGAAGAGGGGATCAGAGGCTACTGCGGGGGCAGAGCAGAATGTGTGGCCCTGAATCTATAGCTCAAATGATAAACTCTGGATTCTGGGCTGCAAGAAGAAAGTACAAACCAAAAAGAGCTAAACATAGTCCAGAGGCTTTCAAAATCCGTAACTTTCTTTCACAGTGTAGATTGTCATATGTTCATCTTCTCTTTCTGTATTATTCCGTGTCTTACTGGCATTTCACAAATGGGAGACTTCTCTTAAAAAAAAAAAAAAGAAAAAGATGACAAAGTCTTTTCAAACAAGTTTTAAATCACCTTTTTTGGATTGAACAGGATGCTGGAACGTGCCAACTGGGACAAACTCCCATTAGCTCTTTGGGAGAAGCGTTTCCAGAGACAAACACCAGCTTATCTCTCATTCTTCTTTCTCTGCCCTAAAGTCTCTATATTCAGTCAAAAGTTGTGTTATCCATGGAGGCAGCCTTTCTACAATCAATGGAGCACGTTCTGCTCGCATTAGAAGTTTACTCTTCTTTGTTCAGAGTCAGTAAGCACATCGCTACAAAGGCAAGAAATTCTCAGAGAGCTGAGAGGTGTTATTTTCGGACCAAATAAGATACACGTTCTCCTTTCACTGGTTATAGTTAGAAAACAGAAAATAGCATCTGCCTTGGAAGTTTTCTATGTGCCTAGTCTTTATGCCAACTTCTCTTGTTTTCTTCTGAAGAAAAGGTGGGATTAAAGTTTAGGTGTTGATTTTGGTTTTTATTTTTAAGAAAAACAAATATTTTAGATCCTGATGAAATTCTAAGCATGACAATTGAGTCTAGGTACTATATAGTACAGCAAGCCAAATGTGAACCACAAAACAATTTTAAATTACTATTTTTGTTGAGCAAAGTAAATCAAATGTTTAGAGTTCTGTCAGAAACTGATTATTAAGTAGAATGTGAATGTCGCAAGACTGATTTTGTATTTAGTAAAAAGCACCCTAGCCTGGAGCAGTGGTGGTGAACGTGCAGCACAGGTACCACGGCAGCTGTTTGTATCACTGACAGCTCTAGGGGGCGCGCATCACTGGCCTAGGGCATAAGAAGGTGTAGAGCCCAACTGACTGACTCAATCTATGCTTCTCTCCCTCGCCAGTTATTCTGTGGTCCTGACCAAGTTACATAATATCTCCTCCTCAGTCCCCTGTATGTTTGAACGTCAGTACACGTAAAGCCATGCCCAGCACGTACTAGTTAGCAAATGTTACTTTCTATTAATAAATGTGGTGTAAAATTCATTACAAACTTCATTTAAACATTATCTGCTTGTTTTCAATACTTACATATTTCAGAGCATTTCTACCAAAGGCCAGCTTTTGCGATGAAGGATAAAAAGAAATGGTTCTTTGTATGCTGAAGTAAAGATGTTTTGACAACCACAAACTCAGCTGGTGGTGTATCAGTGCTGTAACCATCTATCTTATTATATAAGAGCACAAAAGTGGTTAAATACACCATATTATTTTTCAGAACATCATGTAGCTACATGTTTGAAAGCACTGCATTAATGTTTTCTGCCAGCTCCCCTAAATCATTTTTGTCCAAATTGAAACAAAATGCCAAAGCATCTCCCAGCTCTTAAATACTTAATCACATTTTGGTGTAAAATGTACTTATTAGCACATAGATACTAACATCCATGCTAGAGTGTTAGCTTCTTGAAGTTAAGATGTAGTCATGTATCTAATACAGTATTGGTAACAAGAAAATGTTTATTAAACTGAATTGATTCTATAAGTGTTTTTAAGGCACAGAATTATACATGTATTGAATGTGTGATAGCAAAATAGTTTTATTTGCTTATATATTAATAATTCTGTTTATTTTCATCTTCTGGGCTGCTGAGGAATTATGTGGGGAGTAGGAAGGAGAAGACTTTAATACTTGTGGAGCATTCTTGATTTAATTCTGACACTTCTTCATTTCCAAGAACTTTTCTAGATGATTAGAAATACTGATAGAAAGTGTTTTAATTATGCTACTAATTGTTTTAAATGACAGACTTGGGTGTAGTATTTAATGTATCGAATGCAACTAAGGGAAAAATAGAACCATTCTGCATTTAAATTTCCCATTAACTTTCTTTAAGCTTAATGAAAAAAATGACTTAATTACTAGCAAAAGTATTTGGTCTCAGAGTCTTCTGCTGAGCAAAAAATGAAAATTGCCTATTTAATGGTTCGTGTGAGAAATAATGAGGAAGGAGAGAAGGGAATCCATTGGTTTTATTCATTTAAACTTTAAGTAAACACGTGAAGACTTTTAAAAGCCCTAGTAGAAGACCATCCCGAGAAGATGCGGTTTTGCACTTCCCCCACTCCCAGTCCAGGACTACAGTTTGACCCTGGAGCGGCAGCCTCCGGTCCTCCTCATCTCCCTGCCCACCCTTCCATTTCCAGTGATGGAAGCAGCACTCCTGGTAGACATGCCCCAGAGGACAAAGTCTCTCATTCCCCAACCAGCCTCCACTCCAGGCACAGCTAGCTGGGAGCACTGAGGTCCAGTCTGGAGGGCAGAGACAAGCCAACAGAACAGGGCTGCTCTTCAGCCCCAGTGCCTAACATCGGAACAGTGCTGCCACCCTGGGGAAAGTGAGTTACTGCCCCCAACCAGTGCGTATGGTGCAGACGTCCCGCCCAGGAGAAGGACAGGCCACAGAAGTGGAGAGCCCTGTAAATTGCTGAGAGGACTGACTTTATTTTTGAAAGAGAATGGAAGACTATTAATTCTGTTGTTGAAAATAACTTGGTAAAGAGTAGCTACAAAGAGGCAGATAATCCCATGATGTATCAAGATAGATACATACAGAGCAGCCAGATAATTTAAAGACTCAAGAAAAGAATCAACCAAGAAGAGCCCTCCTGGGTCACAATCAGATCTGAGGATCAGGAAAGCAGGGTTCATGTGCTGGTCTGCACCCACTCAGGGACAATCATGGCAGGATGTGGGGTAGACTTGAAAGCTTTCCGCATGCTGCATATAGGCTTGTCAACCCTAAACAGACGCCTCCATGGCAGAGGGGCTTGAACAGCCCGTGACCACCAAGCACAGATCGAGCTATAAGCCACTCTGAGCAGTGCCAGCTCTAGGAAGGAAGGTTTGCAATAGTATCACAGTCACCTCTGGCAGCATGGAAAGCCATGCACAAGCCTAAAGCAGCACCCTCTCAGGAGCTGTCAGAGTGGAAGCCTGTAAAGATACCAGTACCGGGCCTGAACAGATAAAAGAAGTACAATCTATGAACTATTATAGCAGCTCCAGGCCACCCATGCATCCAGTGATAAAGAGTGAAAACCTGCCTTGCTAAGGGAGAGCACCCCACATCCCTGGGCCAGTAAATGAATTATGCTAAGCTGGGGCCATCCCTGGGTAAGTGAGCTAGAACAGAAAGGGGGAGAATGGGAGGGAGAGCATGAGAGACTCATACACAGGGGAAATGAACTTCAGAATTAGCCCAGCACAGTCCCTAAACGAATAATCAAAGCACCCTTGGTGACGGTGGGGATTGGGAGAATCAGTATCCAGTGCTGCTGAAATATACTGTCTAAAATATCTAGTTGTCAACCAGATATCAGATATGGAAACAGGAAAGCATGATCCCTAAATGGGGGCAATAGATACTGCCTTTGACAGGGCCCGAGTGATAAACTTTGATACTGAAACGTCAGTGCAGCCATTATAAACACATATAAAAGCTGAAGGAAACTATGCTTAAAGAATGAAAGGGAAGTACGAGGACAGTGTCTCACCAACTAAAGAATATAATAAAAAGAATTTTTAAGAAATCAAAGGACAGTTCTGGAGTATAAAAGTATAGTAACCCAAGTGAAAATTATTTGAGCTGGCAGAAGAAACAGATTAGTGAATCTGAAGACAGCCCAGTAGAGGTGTACAACCTTAAGAACAGAAAAATGTGAGAATACCTAAGAGGAACGTGAGGCTTGACTGAGCACATCAGCACACAAATAATGGGACTATCGTGATGAAAATGTGTGCACTGAAACACCCCAAAACTGTGCCGCTCAGGAGGGGGGCCAGGCTGTAAGAGGTGGAAATGACTAAGTTGTGTGCATGTGTAAACCTGCCACAATGAAACTCATTAATCTGTACAAGAAGCATGAACTAATAAAAGATGTGCAAAAGAGGAAGGGTCAGAAAAATACAATATTTAAAATAAAATATAACAGAAATTCTCGAATTTGATAATAAGCATTAAGCTATACATGTAAGAAATTCAACAAAATTCAAGTAGAATAAACATAAGGAAATCTCCACCCAGACATGTCACAGTTAAAATGTTGATAGGCAGAAAACCTTGAAAGCCACAAGGGAAAAAATAATCATGACATGCAAGGAAACCTCAATAAGTCTGATAGCTGATTTGTCATCAGAAATGATAAGTGAGGCACATGAAGAAAGACTGATTGATTGATAGAGAGAAATAGAGACCATTAGGTGAAGTTGAAAATAATCCACACAGTTAAATAAGCCAGTTAAAGGGAGAAGATGCCACAAGATTTGAGTTGTTTTTCATCTATTCTTTCGTGCTTTCAGAACACCTCCGTTCATAGACTAATGTGCTGTCCAGTGCTGATTTCCCTTTTCCTTGGTATGTGTCCTGGCACAAATGCCGTGTTGTGCCGCTGACTTCCATGGACTGGTGTTACTGAGTTTGCACCACTTGATAGCTAGGGAAGCTAACCTCGGTGAGAGAAGCCTCAGTTTTTTTTTCCTCTGAATTCTTTATGCTGTCTGAATGCTTACAATAACCATTTTTCCAAATATCCTTATGCAGTCTTTAGAAACAGCACTGAAAGACAAGGCAGTGGCAGGCCCATTGCAGACTCAAAAGCAAACTTGGACCTCAGAGACCCTGTGAGAACCTATTTCTAGCCCTTGTACTGTAACTCCTTCTGTCATTGCTAGGCATTGGCCTTGTCATCTGTGGAGCAAGGAAGTTGCATTCTGATCTATAAAAGTCTTTCCAGCCCTACCATTTGATGATCAGAACTTTAAATCTGGTATATGTGTTCTAAAAATTGGAATACTCGATTCCATTCTTTGAGAATTGTGGAAGTTTCACCGGCTCAGTAAATAACGCAATAAAAAATAAAATGAAAACAGCATTTAGAAAGTTAAATCTAAAACTTTCCACTTTCCTAATCCCCATTGTTTAATATTAATACATTTTCACATTAATCATTGCTAGTAATAATAGAACCAAATTAGTGAAGAAATAACACTATAGTCAAGCACACAGATTTTTGAATTAATACTTATTAAAATGGAGATTTAATAGCATAATAAATACAAAGTACTTAATATATAACACATAGTAAACATTAGATTAACAGTAGCTACTAGTATTATTTTTATCATTGACATCTTCTGTAATCAGAACTCTTGGTTCCCAGTGACAAAATTCACACCTAGCAGATTTTACAAAGTGGGAAGTTATTGGCTCTTCTTATTAACAGGACCAAAATAGATGTACAAGGTGACTTTAAGTGCTCAAACTATATCGAGATTCTTGTTATTTCCTGGCTTTATTTTATATTGACTTTGTTCTTAGCAGGATTCCCCTCGTGTGAATAAAATGTTATGTATCTTACTAATTATAGTTTTTTTAAGTGTCTTTTTCAGTGGTTACAGCAGAAGTCTTAAATACAGCTGTCATCAGCCCTTCTTAGGTGACATGCTCCTTCCTTAACTATGCATGTGTCCAAGAACATAAAGTGTTCTCCTTGGCCAGGGCTGGAGCTGGACATAGACATCTTCAGCCAACACCCAGACAAATAACCAGGTAGAGAACGGTTTCCTCAAAGGAAAGTCGAGGTGCTATAGGAGAAACTGGAGTAAATTGTAGGCAGGCAGACACTGCGTAAGTGTTGTGAAACTGCACATGAGAAAACCACTACAAGTGAATCATAAGGGCTGGGGATTTAGCTCAGTGGTGCTGCTGCCTGCCTTGTAAGCACAAAGACCCAAGTTTGATCCCCATTACCAAAAAGGGGGGATCATAAATCATCACCCACTCAGGCCAAGCGTGTTTATAGAAATAGCTTGTGCTCTTCTACAAATAAATTCACAGAGCTTCCACCAAACTAATGTGTACAGATTGTTCCATGGGTAAGGAGGTTGCACAGAAAACAAACCACCTTAATTTCTGTATAATTAAATTGTCACAACACTTGAAGAAAAATACAACTGAATTTAATTATCATGAGAACAGTGGTCACTAAGGTATTAACTATCCCAGGCAACATGGTACGATAGAAGGAAGTAAAATCAGAAGACATTAATTCTACCAAAATGCAGGAATAATTGTAGATGCTACAAGTGCTTATTGCATACATTCAGAGAGCTTTTTATACATTTTCTGCTCTTGATATCACAGTAACTGTGAGGAAGTGTATTCTCCTTCCGTGGGTGGGCCCACAGTTAGCTGACTTGCCTTACGTCATGCAGCTAGCAACTACTGGCAGGATTGGATTCTGTCCTATTTGTTCCCAAGCCCTGCATTTTTCTGTCAACAGGCCATGTGACTTAACTTCTCTACTCCTCGTTTTTAAAGGACTTTGACTTAATTATCTTTAAGGGTCATTCTCAATGCCATGATTATTTAAGGGTTCACCTTTTTTAGTACTTTTTTAGAAGAATTTGAGTCAATTAGAATACCCTTTTTATTTATGTTTTAATTCTGGACAAAAAGGAATGATATCCTTGTTTTAGTGAGAACACTTTTCGGGGGGTGTGTCGAGATGAGTGCTGTGCAGCCACAAAGGAAACTGTCCACTGGGCAAATGTCCTTCCACTAGGGCCGCACACACTTGGCAGAGACACAGTAATTAATGTCACGTTGGAGAAGCTTCATCCTCACCTCTGCTCTAGTGGACCATTAGTGTGAAGTGTTCAGGATTGATTTGGTTTTGACGTTCGCATTTTAGTCACTACTTTCAAAGCTGAGAAAATATACTAATCTGCTGCAGATAGCTCTACTTTGATTATACGAGAGGAAAATAAAAGTTGAGTAATTTTGCTATTCTGATAATCTGATAATCTTTCCGACTGTGAGAAAAGATGTACAGCAGAAATGGTACTTCTGTTCAATTTACTGAGTCAAGTGTATTTTCTGTATAAAATGAAAATGTGTTGCCATAGCATTAATAATTTTGAAATTTTGCTACTTTTTTGAAATTCCTCAGAAAACTAAGCAGCATAAGACACCTATCAGCCATGAGAACTATAATAACTGGAAGGAGTATAGTTGAGTGTTAATGGTGTGGTCCCTGGAGAAGGAATGTCAGTTCCTGGCACAGGTCCTTTTGCTGCTGGGTGTAAATCGTCTTCCACATTTGACTCCTTTGAAACTACAACGTTCTTATCTACAAGTGGAAGGTACCGCCAGCGCCTCCCTCAGACTTGGAAAGATCCAACAAGCAACACATGTGGACCGTGGTCCTGGAGTAGGCACTGTGTTAGCAGTTCCGCCGTCCCATCCATAGTGTTACTGCTGCTGTTACCCGGAATTACAAACATCTGAGGAAGAGTCAGGTACCCAAGACGCATCTGTTTCTGTTAGTGCCTACTTAAGATACAATGTGTAAGCATACAGCTGAGCACATGCATTCATTCCTATCATTTAAGCTAGAATTTACAAATACTTGAAAAATTTCCATCTGTGCTCATGAGAAAATAAAGCCTGATAATTATGTTTAGGTTTTGTTTTTATCTTGGTCCTTTTGTCCTAGTGTTCTATTATAGAATATTTCTATTGTTTGTTCAACATATATTTATTATACACCTGTGTGGGCCAGGCATAGTGCAATATAATCTCTAAGATATGTCTCTTCTATTTAGTGGCCTTCCTGAGTCCATAGCTGGTGACAGGAAATAGATATATGCATAAATTATTCTATAATAAAACACTGGTGGGTAGAATAATCTGAAAGGCATCCACATCCTGCTCCTCAGAACCTGTGAATGTGATGCCTCCCATGGCAAAAGGAATTTTGTTAATGTAACTAAATTTTAGGACCTGAGAGAGGGAGAGCATCCTAGAATGGGTCTAGGCTAATCACACGGGTCCCTTGAAGCTGAAAACCGTTCCCTGTCGGGTCAGAGGGCAATGCTAACTGCATAGGAAAAGTCAGGTGCAACCAGGCTGGTTTTGAAGACGGTGAAAGGGGTCTAAGAGCCAAGGAACGTGGGCAGCCACTGCCGCTGGAGAAGGTGAGAATAGTCCCTTTCCTGGAGCCTCCAGAAGGAAACCATCTGCCGACATAACTTCCAAGTATAAAACCATAAAATAATATGTTTGGGTTGTTTTAAGCCAATAGATTTGTAACCAGTACCTTTGTAGAACAAAACAATAGCAAAAATAGGTATTGCCCTACCTCATGGGGCTTACAGTTCTGTCAGGCAGCAGTAATCACACATTTGCATTAAAGTATAATACATTGGAAAAGCATTCTATGATGCTTTGAGACAGAGCAAAGGTGTAAGCCGAGACCGAAAGAGCATGCCCCAGCTAAGCCAAGCAGAGTGAAAAGCACGTTTCAGGCAGAGAAAACAGCACGTGCAAATGGTTGTCAGGAAGTTGACAGGACCTGCGGACTGCAGCAGAAAGACTGAGGGAGGCTGATGGCAGAACGAGCCAGAGACCGACAGAAGCCAGATGAAGCAGGGCCTCATGGAGCACGCTTGAGATTTTAGCCTCAGTGCTGAAGGTGCTGGAGGTGGCACAGTTCGGTGGCTGCAGTGTGACACAGAGGTTTAGGGCAGCCGTGGGCGTGTGTTGGAGCAGTTAGACTGAATAGCCAAGGCAAGCGAGTCGGTACTTTGTAATTAGATTACGGCAATAGGTAGAATAGACCAGAACCTTAAGGAACTTAGAAGGTAAAATAGATACGGTGATGAGCAGAATGTGGGAAAAGTGGAAGAGAAAAGGAATCAAGAACGTCTCAGGTTTCCAGCCTTCCCATATGGCCATGGATGGAACTACCACCCACGGAGCTAGGAGCACTGAAAAAGCACCCAGGCAATGTAGATGCTACTGTAAAAAGTCTAAAAACTACCAAGTGGTATGCTTTTCTGTATGAGGTAGATCAAAAAACGCAAATGCTATTCCTTGTTGTGGAAGTTTTGTGTCACTGTATGCATTAAGCCTAACCACATCCACTACTCAAGCCATAGTTTAGCTTTCCCAGTTTCAGTTTACTTGTGATGCTTTTCTTCTAGTAAACTATCCCAATCTGTTGTTCTGATAAACTTAAAAAAATAAAAGTATACTGATTGCTGGAAAGAAGGGAGGGTGAAACCCACGGATTGTAACCGTGTGGGCCTCTATCCCAGCTCCCCAGCGGCCAGTCCTCCAGTGGAGCGCTCCTCCTGCTGCCAGCAGACCTCAAGACGCAGTTTCTAACTTCAGAGAAGCCGTGCAAGCCGCCTGTTAGTAACCTGAAGTTGGCCGCAATGGGAAGGCTAATCCAGAAACTAGAAACACTGTGGAACTGGCAAATGCTACCACTCAGGGCCTTCCCGCCACTCTCTGTACCCTCTAGAGCTGTGATGTTTGAGGAGACAGTTTAGATGCAAAAAACACAGTTGTGAGATTGATGAAACCTCATTGATTTAAGGATGCTGCCCATTTTCTTTAACTCATCTTCCAGTGTCATCTTTGAGCTGTTTGAACCCCTGTACAGTTCATCACTGGGTATTGACGCTTCTACAGAATTTCCTTTGTGAAGATGCATTACTTGAAAGCATTCTTGTAGTGACTTTTTCTACTTTATTAGATAGCTCAGTTTAAGTACAGCAGTGAGGTGGCAAAGTTTTAGCAAGCATAAAATCTAGTCAGTAGGTTCATTGTGCTGTTTTCTCTACTTCTGTGTAACCTGCACATGTACATACCTTCAGCAGAGGAGAAAGAAGCAGCGGGAAGGTGCACAGCACAGCTTGCCCAGGCCTGTTCCTGGTGACCCTGTGTCCATCTTGAGCCCACCAGCTGTTGGTGGGGAAGCTATACCACTCCTGTCCACGTGGGTAATGTAAACAGCTGTCTGCTGAGTGCTGCAGAAGGGAAGGCAGCAGAAATCACTGAGATGGTAGTTTGCAGTGGGTAGTCACCAGCCCAGTGTCATAAGCATCTTCCCAAAACTTGACAGAAATGCAAATCCGAGGACTCCACACCTTGCCCTGGTCTTAGGCCAGCAGTCTGCTTTACCAAGCCTCAAAGGGAGCCTGATGTAGGCTGAAGTTTAAATATCACAAAGATAGCAACCACCAGAAGTAGCCCCCACTACTAGGACTGGGACAGCAAAGCAAATGACACAATTTACTAAACCTGAGAAGATAGAGGAAAGGCCCCACGGTGCGGAGACTCAGACTTCTGAGAACAGTTCTTCCATGTTCATCAGATAGTCTTTGAGTTTAGGGGAGGCACCCCTCGGAGCAGGGACCCAGATACTGGAGGAGGAGGAGCCCTGGGCTGCAGCCAGATACTGGAGGAGGAGGAGCCCTGGGTTGCAGCTGTACTCTAAGGTGGCACATTGAGGCGGGTCCTGTGGGTGCCGAGGGTCTCCCCAGGGCCCATCAGCTGTCACTGCGGGAAGGAACTGCTGACTGTTGGTCAGGGATGGAGAAGCCCACGCAAAGCCAGAAAGAGCAAAATCTCTACTTCCTCCTCCTGGGCCGCATCTCTTTGCTCCCTCTATTGGCAGAGCCTGCCAGGGAGCCAGAGAATTGGCAAAACTCCAAACTGTGGGGATGTTCTTCATTACCATAATAAAATACCTGAGACAGTCTCACTTTGTAGAGAAAAGAAGTTTTCCGAGCCCAGTTTGGGATGACAAAGTCGAGGTGGCTTGGTGAAGGCTCCCCTTGGGCTGCCTGACCCCAAGGTGGATGGCACAGCAGGAGCTTGTGCTGGAGGAAGACGTGTGGGGAAGTTGGGTGGAACAGCACAGACTTCTGTAATAGTGAGTGCCCAGGAGGCACCTCTGTCCCTTGGAAGGTGCACCCCCAGGTGAGTCAGCTTTCACCTCGCAACACTGAAAGCCAAGCTCCCAACAGATGCACCTCTGAAGGGGAAAAGCTGGGTTTGAAGCTGAGAAAATAGCTTAATCATTGGCATAATGGTTTCATATGATTTAGAGATAGCAGAGATAGAAGCATTTTATATGTATCACTGGCTACACGTGGGCATTTTCTATGGCAATGACCTTCAGATAAGATTTGCCTTTAATGTACAAATTATTTGGGGGTTTTTTTCTTTTGTTTTTTGGTACCAGGAATTGAACTCAGGACCTTGCGTTTGCAAGACAGGCAATCCCCAGGCCTATATAAATTCTTTTAGGAACTATTTGGCTAGACTTAGTGGTACATGCCTGTAATCCCAGCACTCAGGAGGAGGAGGAAGGAGATCACCACAAATTCAAGGCCAGCTTAGGCTGTATGGTGAGTGAGTTCAAGACTAGTCAAAAAACAAAACAAAAAAATTTTTAAATAAAAACTATTTGTTCTGATTAGATTAATAAGCATTTGGGGTTGGATAGCATTTGTACAGAAAGGTGTACAGGGCCAACCCCAAAGTCTAGTTCCTTGAAGCTAACACTGAAAGATCACAGCAGTAATGACTGAGGATTGCTCCATAGTAAAAGACACGCTCCAGCCAGACAAGGTGCTGTTTATTCAGGGCTTAGTGCTGGAGGAATGGACCACAGACAAGTCACTGGACAGCAGTCAGGAGCCCCGCCTCAAAACCAGAGGAGCAGAAAAGGTTGTTCTGAACACATGGTCACTGGCAAGGGAAACACCAATATGAGTGTTCATTTCAGCATCCGTCTTTGTGCAATTCCAGGAAACTAGAATCAAAAGGAGTTAGCTGTTTTCTTCATTTGTAAATCACTGTCTGGTAGTTGAGGGATCAGTTGGTGTTGACTGCAGAAATCACCAAACCAGGCTTCCGGCGGTCTTGGGAGGTGGGTACAGGCACAGTACGCTGGGTGTCGAGCAAGCGCCTGTGAAGTGCTTGTCGGAAGTCTGCCCAGTTCTGAGGACAGGGAAGAACTCTGGAAGAGCTGTTAGGTTTGAAGACCTTTACATGCTGCTATTTATGTTCACACTTTGTTTTTCTTTTTTATTTTCTTTCTTAAGGATATTGAAGACTCAGAGAATAACACTCCCGAGCCTGTTGCAGATGATTACAAAAAGATGGGAACACTGTTTGGTGAACTGAACAAAAGCCTGCTCAGCATGGGCTTCACGAGGATGTACTTTGGAGAGCGGACTGTGGAGCCAGTCGTAGTCATTTTCTTCTGGCTCATGCTGTGGTTCCTCGGCCTGCAAGCCCTGGGACTGGTGGCTGTTCTGTGCCTTGTGATTATTTATGTACAGCAGTAAAACATGCTCTGCTGAACTATTGGACATTTGATAACCATGTATGTAATACATGAACTTTTGCATTTTGGCTTTTTGAAAGACAGAAAAGTTTGACTTGTTTCAGGTTGTGTGCTGGCTGTTTTGTAATTAAATTTTTAAGTAATTGTTTAAAACTAACTCTTGGTGATGACAAATTTGGATATATATTTTGAATACACATTAGCTTATTCAAAATTCTTGTTTCACTCCTGTCATCTGTACCCACTTTTATACACCTCTGTCATCATACCACATCTTAACACTGCCAGACAGTGAGCAGGGAAAATAATACACGAAGTTCAAATCAGGCAATGTAGCTTCTATAAAGTGTTCTAGTAAAACATTTTGGAAGAAAGAGGAAGTGAGCTCAAAAGTTTTAATTGGAAAGCTGTACCACCTCCCGTGTGTTATGTGAGAAACATCTGTGTTGGTACTGTCCCTGCTCAGGGCAAACCAAGACAAATGACGCTCATCATACACTACCTACTCGGTGGCAAAGATGAACAAAGCTCGCGCATGTTCTAAAGATGGAAGAGATTATGTTTATTATTGCTGGAGAAAATTCTCAGGTTACTTTTTGTTAATATAATACCTGGACCTGGAGTTTCTTCAGTTTATTATTTGACGTTTTAGATGATTTTGGTGCTAATTACTTTTCATGAGTTTTTGAAGTCTCAAAAGCTAATTCCACAGTGGCTGCACCCTGTGGTAATACACGGTGTGTTGTATCCAACAAGTTGCACATTTTTCCTAGAGAGACATTTTCAGTGTATTTTTTTCAAATTTTTATTTTATAGTTTTTTATAACAATTGTTCTAAGATTTAAAACAATATATTTACTATCTTAACATGGATTTTCTCTCTCCCCCACAAAAAATTGATCTGTAATTTACAGTTAGTCTGATAAAAAATTCAAATCAGGGCTGGGGACTTAGCTCAGTGGTTCTACCACCTGCCTTGCAAGTGCAAGGACCCAAGTTCGATCCCCAGTACCAAAAAAAAAAAGAGAGAGAGAGAATTCAAATCATTTTTTCTTTGATATCTGTATTGGAAAGTACAGTCAGTCGTATAATATAAATTCAGATCCTTAAATTTGAAACTTAACAGCCAATTGCAATATTCTTCCAAAACTAACAGCAAAATCACTAAGTACTTGGCTAGCCATGTTATAAATGTGTATTAACTTAGCAGTGTGAGACTTTACATTAAAATAAGCATTTCTTTAACTACATTTTGAAAATGGAATTTGGCTTTAGTGATGTTTTCGGTTTTGCTAGAGAACCTAAAATCTTTACACTTTGAAGAACAATAGAGTAGTAGTTAATTATCTAGAACTCTAAGGTAACTAGGCAATGAGCATTTTTATCTTTGGCATGGCAATAACTAAAGCCTGTAGAGTGTTTACTATTCTGCTATGTGAGGTTTCTATCCAAACCAGTTTTTAAAATGTAAGTGAGTTCTTAGTGTCTTTCATTCTGAAGAAGAAAATGATAAAAAGAAACATTTAACTTAGATTTCTAAAATCAGATAACCCTAAACAAAAATACCAGTCAGGGGTAGTAGAAAGCATTTTACATTTGTATAAATACAGGCCTTTTAAAATTTGACTTCTCAAAACAAAAGATATTTGTTCAATATCATGGTGTTTTTATTGGGTTTGCAATATTTTTAAAACCACCTTTAGAGCACAGTGTAAGTGCAAGTTGTTTGGAAATGTGTTTCCATTTGTATACAGTAGAATTGCAAGGTTTTCAATAGAAGTAAGCTTTTTTGATATCTGCACAAAATATTGATAAGTACATTCTTCTCTAATGCTACCTGGAACTTTGATTTCCTTGGGAATGCAAAAAAAAAAAAAATATATATATATATAATATATATGTTTATAGTATACATAATAATAGCTCTGCTTCCACCAGTGCCTGTTGTTGAAAATACTTTATGTATTTTCAGCCAGGGATTTAGCTGAGTGGTTCTGCTTCCTGCTTTGCAAATACGAGGTCCCAAGTTCAATCCCCAGTACCAAAAACAAAACAAAACAGAAAGTATTTTACAAGTGTGTTTCAGTATTGTTATTTAGCGTGCTGTCAGGATGATGCATCTGCACACTGGTGTTAATAGGACATCATTAAATTATACAGAGAAATAAGGAAACACACTGCTCTCCTCTGCATGTGTTCTGGTTCATGCAGTATGCCATCAAATCCTCTGGTTTGATATAGAAGAAAGTTATGTTTACTTGAGGAAGATAAAATATTTTCTTTAATGAAATATATTAGACTGTAGATTGTACTTATGTCCCAAAATGAAACTGTTAATTTCTTTGGTTCATGGTATAAGAAATTAGATTGAAAATTATTGTCAGTTTTTTCAGTCTCAAATATAAGCCAATCAGAGAAACTGTTAAACTGCTTATGAACAAAGAAATAAAAGTTAGAATGCTAAGGTCATCAGATGATTAATGTATCCATCACCATAGTGTCCCCTCAGTTCAAAGGAAAAGGTGCAGACCTGTAGGACACTGCTGCGCATGGGAAATCAACTTTATTAGGGTTCAAACACCGCATGTTGCAGAACGCAGTCCTCGGGCTGGCTGCTGGGCCGAGGCATTTGCCCACACTGGTGGTCAGTCAGATCAAGCGTGGTCCACTTGGGCACGGGGCCAGCCTGTGCTTGCTCACCTGGCCTGGAGTGTACACTTTCCACCCTTCAGTGACATGAAGTCATAGCTTAAATTGGCCGTGGTGGGAGTGTTCACACCGCAGAAAACTGGCAGACCCTACAAGTGGAGGCTGTGTTTCCTGGAGAGACAGTTGTAAAAGACCTCGCACTGCTGGTGTGCCCATCTCTACTCCTGTGCACAGGAAGAGGCATCTTCGGAAAGGAAAACATCTGAGGCAAGTCCCAGCAGCCCACCCAAAGTTATCCGGATCTTCCCCACTGGGGCTGATAGACCATGACTGCCTTCTGAGATGTCTCCAACCACGTTTGGGCACAGAAAACTTCTCAGGTTGTCACTGAATCACAGTGCACAGAAGAGCATCTGGGGTTTCAAGCAAAGAGAAACTGGACCACAGAGTACAGCATAAGTAAGGTCTGCTATAAATAAGCTCGAATAGGCAAAGCCAGGCATTGAGCAATCAAGGGATGCTTGCAGATTAAATTTGAAATTATTTTACAAATGTTTATTGATCTTGGGTTATTTAAGATGCTTTTGGTACCAGTGTATGGCTTTACAGGTGAAGTAAGAAGAAAACGAACCAAGTAAGACTTTCATATCTGTTAGTACCTGTAGTGTTAACTCGCCACGAATGTAAAATATTACAAATCCATCTTCAGGATTAGTGGTGGACCTAGGGTCTTTTAAACTCCTTATTTTTCTCCCCAACACCTAATAGCTATCGCCTTGGGATTCAGTCCAACAGCCTGTCCTCTCCACTCCCTTGACTTCAGTTACTCCTCCCTGCTAGCAGTCCTTCTTCGTCTGTCTGTCTGTTCAAATCACTGTACAAACTGTAAGACCTCTCTATCCAGTGGCTTGCCCAGGGTGTGCACGTGGTCATCCATGGTGCCTCAGATTCAGCAATGTCCAAAAGAAGAGCTCAGCATCTTCTCCCAAATCTTTTTTCTGTGTGGCCCTTCTTGACTCTTGACACAGTCTCTGAATTGCTCAAGTGGGAATTGGAGGTTGCATCTTTAACTCCTGTCTCTCCAACAATGCCCACGTAACCAGTTATAGTACCAAGTCCTGTCCATTTTATTTCTGCAAATGTCTGCAGTCTTTCTACCTCTCTTCATCGCCAGCATCGTCTCACCTGGAACTGTCAGAATCCTAGATGATGCCCCTGCTTTCGTTTCCACTATATAACTATAGTAATCTTTCTAAAACATGGCTCTGATCACAACCTATTTTAAATGGCTTTTTGCTGCCATCAGCATAAAACATTTGCTCTATAACATTTTTATGAGGCTCTTCAAGAACTGGTTCTTTCATACCTAGTATTTTTATACTACCACCCCTTTCCAAGAGTCACCACTACTGTAAAAATTTTTTGTTTTCTGAAAGAAACATAACTCCCTAATTGCAGAACACTGGATCTGTTGTTCTTTCTTTAGCTCTTCCCCACCAGACTGGCCACCACCAACTCAGATATCATGTCCTCTAGGAAGACTTCCAGCTTGGTTGTCTGTTGTGTGGGTCCTGTCTCCCCCGTCAGCACATCTCATGCTGTACTGTAATAGCTCATGTGTACCTCCTTGACTAGACGGTGGACTTCACAGGAGCTGGGAACGGGTCCATCGTGTCCAGAATTGCATTCCTGGTGCCTGACACAACTCTGGCACATAAGGGATGCTCAAAACGGTTGTCCGATGAGTAAATCGACTTCATATATTCACATTCTCTCCATCAGCAAAGACAATCTAGACCTGGTTGTACTCCAGAGCCCTTGGATTCCAAAAATATTGTGCACAAAGAGTGGTTTGGTGTATACAGTACCATTTGTAAGGTTCGTTCACTTTTAATGGAAGGATTTTGCTGCTTGCATGCATATACCATATTGCTACTATATACTTGCAATTTTAGGAGAAATGTGTCGTCTGTGTCATGCTTGGTTGACTGTTGCTCTAAAAAGGATATTTTACAGTGTATATGGTCACTGTGCTACTACAATTTCATATTTTGCAGTATTTTTGATAGACCTTTCTCTACCAAATTTTAATTTTTAAGAAAATCTCTGAAGCAGGAATTCTTACATATCTAAGCTTGATATTTTAGGCTGCAGAATAAATCCACTGTCCAATAACCCAGATCTTACATGTTAAGTACCAGGCATACAAAGCATCTGTTATTCCCTCTAATAACGATGCTCTGTTCCATCTCTGCCTGTGTCTCCGACTGCAGCAGCACGTCCTGCCTGTCCTTCCACACCAAGTTTGGAAACACACCTGAGGTTGCCCAGTGCCTGTTTCCTCCTCTCCGGGGCTGGGTAGAAAGCCAGGGCCCAGCTTGGCCAGGACAGAAGTAGGCAGGTCAGCCTCTGCCTCTCTGTTGTCCCGATTATCACCGAGCGGAGAGTCACTGGCTGGACTGTGAGGATGCCCACTGAGGTCCAGACATCACGCAGATGCTTACTGTCTTTCAGTTATGTTTTCAACAATAAAGTCCTATTATTTAGCCTTTTCACCACCTTAGTTAGAAATTTGTTTGCCAGTTTTCCAAAGCACCATAAAATAGGGTAACTTAACATCTGACTATAGATATTTTGTTTGATTTTTTGTTTGTTTGTTTAAAACCTTTTAATGGAAGATTTCTAATGGAAGAAAAGTCTATACATCATGTACTTACTGCTCCCATGGTTGACTTATAACAAAACCTCCAAGGAGCTTTTTCTGGGCGAGGAGGGTTGTGTAAAGCTCCATGTCTGAGGCCAGCCCGTCCACACAGCACCTTTCTGCAATCTGCCGTGCTTGCTGCTCTTAGTATGTTTTCCTGGCTTTAGATGTGCAATATTAAAAATAGCTGTTTTTATTATTTAACATATTTTCTGGGTTGGGGGGGTTGTTTTTGTTTTTGTTTTTTTGTGGTACTGGTGATAGAACTAAGGACCTTGCACTTGTGAGCGGGTGCAGTGCCACTGAGCTACATCCCTGGCCCACATATTTTCCGTTTTTAAAGGCACAAGATTATATGTTTAGATACCACATACCAACAAAGGTTGATGACCAGTTACAAATGGAAAGCACACTCCTTGGATACTGGTTCAAAAGATACCCTTAAATTGGTCTTACACAAAACTAATGATAAGTTTTCATATTAAGTGTTTGTTTACCGTGAAACGAGGCTTTCAGAGACTTTCAGTTTCATTTGCCTTTAGTGACCTCTTACACAAATATCCAGTATACAGACACTTCTGGACCACAGCGTGGTTGCTTCCTGTTAGGCAGGGCGTACTGGAAAGTGCACCTCAT